ACTGAGAGATGGATGTGCTCTTGAAGGTTTGTGTATATGCTCAGAAGATCATCATTGTGCTCCAACCAAAAAGTATTATTGCCGGCCTGGGAAGGTTTATAAAAAAGCTAGAGTCTGTGCTTTTGAAGGTTGAAATTGATATGAAGAAAAAGTTTTTAGTGGAAGAACGATTTAAATCAAAGGGCTTTTGGTAGTGAGAATGTGTGATATTTTATCTTTGAGATTTTTTTTTTCATCATCTTTGTAGTAGAATAATAATGAAATATTGTCATTTTAAATAAATGATATTAATTTCTTTAATAAAAGAACTTTAATGATTTTCTGTAATTTATAATGTGACATGTACTTCTAGTTTAATGCTATTTTCTTAAATTTAATCCCTAACAACTTCAATCACAAGATATATAAAGTAGTGAAGGTTTTCCCTTATGAAAGTGTAAATTCACCCTTTTAATACTCATATTTTTTTTTTGGCTAAATATTTGATATTTGATGGTTAAATAAAAAAATTTCAAATATGATGAACAAGTTATGAATTTATATCCTAATGGAAGCGAAGTTGTCGGTCAATTGCGTGACGTCCTCGGACTTTTTTCATTAAACATTGTATATATTGTTCTTTTTTCCCTTTTTGTTATGCGGTATATGTTGTTCTTAATTCTTATTACTCCCATTAAGGTTACTGTTTGCACCCAAATAAATGGGCCTGGGTCCAGACACCAGCCCAATAATAAAACAAAATGGATAATATTAGTATCACATTCTTGTATCCACAGATGAATGATTTTGAAAATTGTGAGTGCTAATGTAAGTGGCAATTTTCTTTTTGTAAAAAATCAAAATTTGGATGATGCCACATTAAGGATTATGTCCTGTGTTATTAGGTTTAACTCCTATATACTGTAACTTGTTGATTTGATCTAGTCATATAATTAACTATTGTGTGGAGGAAATATATAGATATAGGTGACTTTTAAATATATTTTACATTTGATGAAACACAAAAGTCGAACCTTGCAAAGTTTAAAATATATTCAAAGGATCAAGTTGAACATTGTTAATGTTGTAGCTGGATGCAGTTGAATGTAATACAGGAGTAGAACGTTGACAACTGTTAAAACAAATTTCCTTCTTGCTTGTTTTTTTTCCCTCCTCCACTGTGTTTTTCTCTGTATATCATCTCACAAGCAACACTTTATAATAATTTTAAAGAAAGGATCTTCTTTCTTCTTGTGGATTTTGTAAAGTTGCTTTGAGTAACGAAATGCCATTGTTCTGCATGTTTCAACTCCTCTGGGATCATATTCATCCAACTCCTTTACAGACTTTTTCACATCCAGGAGGGGATCCCCATTGGTGAGGAACTCAGCCAAAGTACTGCCTCTGCGCAAGTGAAAGCACAGCGAGAAAACATGAGAAACTGCTAAGAATTTAGATGCAGTAGATCGCATGCGTTTTAATTAAATACAGCCCTCGTTCAGTGAAAAGGTTGTGTGCCATAATCCTTCGCTGATATTAAACCATTCCTCATGAAATTTATAGAATTAAAATTAGAATTATTAATTACAAGGATAAAACACCTGGGGTCCATAATTGAACTGATATGACCAAGTAATGGATTATTAAAAGAAAAAAGAAACTTCCTTATCACATTTAAAAGAGAAAGAGGGTGGGGAATTGGAAGTGCAACATCCATGGCAAGATGAAAATTCAACAGATTGTGTAAGAGTTGATCTCCAACATGCACATAGAGAGAGTACAGGCAGGCATGAATCATTAGCAATCAGTTCTCATATAATAAAACCTACGTCCAAGGGCATAATTTATCACAGTTGTCTTCTGTGCCTACCTTTCAGCATCAAATCTGTTGAATCGCCTTCCATTGTGGTGCAGTGATCCCCTGATCTTCTGTTCCGCAGAAGTTTGCTGACGATAAAGAGCACATACAGCCTTTGAGGATCCTTTCCAAATGCTGCAAGCATGTCAGCCTCAAATTTCCACTCCCTTTTCTGATCTTATTCCTTTGGATTTTGAAAGAATCATCTTATCCCCATCAGATACATCATGTGAATCAGAGTCGACGTCATTATCAGATACATCATGTGACTTGCCAGATGTGTCTTCAGATGCAACAGGACCATGAGTAATAAGACCATTTAAGCTTCCCTCCTCTTCTGACTCATCATCATCATCAGTCTCCTCGTTCATAGGGATCCTTCAGCATCTCCTTATCTAATCTTTCAAGCTTCATCAAAGATGTGGAGAAGCTTGTTGAATTAGAACCGCAAGCAGTGCGTGGAATAGAGCTAAACGGTGGCATCCTCTTGCGCTATATCAAAGCTTCAAGTGCTTGCTTGGGAAAAACAGAGGATTCTGGGGATTTTGATTTTGTATATTACAGAAGCAAGGACCCACTGACTCCTAGGCTTTTTGAGGACATATTTGAGGAGATTGAGCAGATTGGATTGCTCAAATATGGAGGGTTACCTCACTGGGGAAAGAATAGGAATTTCGCATTCAAGGAAGCGATCAAGAAGTATCCAAATACACATAAATTTTTAAGTGTGAAAAAAAAAGTATAACCCTCAAGGGATTTTCTCTAATGAGTGGATCGATCAACTTCTAGGATTTTTTTAGTAAAGATGCAATATTGAGAGATGGGTGTGCTCTTGAAGGTTTATACATATGCTCGGAAGATCGTCATTGTGCTCCAGCCAAGAAATGTTATTGTAGGCCAGGGAGGGTTTACAAGAAAGCTAGAGTTTGTACTTTCGAAGGCTGGAACTTATCTGAAGACAAGGTTTGTAGTGGAAGAATAGTTTAAATCGAAATGTTTTTTATAATGTGATATTTTATATTTTTGATGTATCTTTTATTATTTTTGCCGTGGAGTGTCATTTCTCATAATTGATGTTAGTTTAATAAAGTAACGATATATATATATATGATTATCTGTAATCTGTAAGGGCATATGGTACTTATAGTTTGGTGCTCTTTCCTTTAGTTCCTGCGAATTGCATTAATGGAGGTTTCTAAAACTGTAATCTGTAACCATGCAAGCCCAATCGGTTTGAATTGACACGGATGAGGGTAAAGCAGTCTTATCAACTCATTCTTATGCTTTATACTCATTGCATATCCGAATATATGTTGCGTTTACTCCTCCTGTCCCTAATGTAGGAGTGGTCAAAACTCAGGGACTAAGTTACACGTGATTTTTTCTTTTACCTTGAAGTTACAAATGAATTAAACTATAGGGACCAAAACACTGATTTTGCTTCGTTATGCATTTGACCCAGTCTATTGTGAATTGATGCCCGGTTCCTCCTATTTAAGGTCATGTTTACATCCAAATACAATTAGGCCTTTCACATAAAGAAGTAAATTAGGCCTGGGTCCAGAAACAAGCCCAATAATGAAATGGACGATGACAGATGGCTTTTAAAAATATTTTACATTGACCAACGGGTTTGATCTAGTGGAAGGAGTTAGTTCGTTATAATGTGACGAATTAAGATTCGAATTTTTATTGAGAGAGGTACTCACAGTTAGTGCAAGACAATGTCTCGAATAGAATTGTCTCCAATAAAAGGATACTTACACTTTAGGGGAAAAAGGTATTTTAAATTGGATGAAACAAAAAAGTCAAACCTTGCAAACTTAAAAAATGTACGATAAAAAATGATCTGGCAAAAACGTAAACATCATAACATTATCTTCTAAATTAAAAAAAAAAAAAAAGTGGGTGAAAACAATCATTGGCTAAACGCGTGGAAGATAGGAGGATATTAAACAATGAAACAGGTGTTTGCGTTAGCAAAGAAACGCGATCAACAAAATTTAAATGGTGAGAAATGTTTGCGTTAGCAAAGAAATGTGATCAACAAAATATAAATGTTGAGTCTATAATTAAATACAGATATAACATGCTTAAAATTTTATTTTTTAATATAAAATTATTTCATATTTAAAATTTTAGGCATGCTTGTAAAAGTATTTTACATTGACCAACGGGTTGGGTCTAGTGCAAGGAGTTAGTTCCTTATAACGTGACGAATTAATATTCGAATTTTCATTGAGAGAGGTACTCATAGTTAGTGCACGACAATGTCTCGAATAGAATTACCTCCAATAAAAGAATACTTACACTTTAGGGGGGAAAAGTATTTTAAATTGGATGAAACAAAAAAATCAAACCTCGCAAACTTAAAAAATGTACGATAAAAAATGATCTGGGCAAAAACGTAAACATCATAACATTATCTTCAAAATTAAAAAAAAAAAAAGTGGGTGAAAACAATCATTGGCTAAACGCGTGGAAGATAGGAGGATATTAAACAATGAAACAGGTGTTTGCGTTAGCAAAGAAACGCGATCAACAAAATTTAAATGGTGAGAAATGTTTGCGTTAGCAAAGAAATGTGATCAACAAAATATAAATGTTGAGTCTATAATTAAATACAGATATAACATGCTTAAAATTTATTTTTTAATATAAAATTATTTCATATTTAAAATTTTAGGCATACTTTGTTAGCATTTAACTGCAGAAATAACTATTTAAATTTTGTTCAATCAGTATTTTCAATGAAGTGCGACAAATGATATTAAGGAACCGAAAAAATCCACTTTTATAAACTTAAAGAATTAAATTAAAATTTGATGTAAATTTTAAAAACAACGTATACTTTGATCCAATTCTTATAAAACTTCGCTAATCCACGTGTTAAGGGGCGGCTTTCTCTGGTCAAAAAAAGGGCTGGCTTTGATTGTTAAAACGTACGATAAAATATACACATGTACCTATCAATATGGGTGGCAGAATATTTGAAAGTCAAATTTCAAGGCGCTCTAAAATTTCTCTCAGGCCCAAAAGCCCCCCGCCCTAAAATTTATATAACCACACACATTATCACTAGGTAACACACAGTGAAGTGAAGTTTCAGTCAACCATGAAAATGCTCAAAACATCCATTCTCACCATCTTCTTTGTTTTCGTGAATGGGGTTCTTTCTTCTCCCCCAAGTGACCCCGTCAGATGCACTTCCAACAACACAAACTGCATCATCGATAACGCTTATGGCGCCTTCAACGACCGGATCCCTTGCCGAGCATCCAAAGTACTCTACCCTACCACCGAGAAAGAGCTTATTTCCGTGGTGGCTTCGGCTTCAAAATCCAACACAAAAATGAAAGCAGCCACCAGGTATTCCCACAGCTTCCCCAAGCTTGCGTGCCCTGGAGGCCAAGACGGGATCATAATAAGCACCAATAAGCTCAACCGTGTCGTGAACGTTGATGTGGAAAACAGAAGAATGACGGTAGAGAGTGGAGTCCTTGTGGGGGACCTGATCAATGAGGCGGCGAGGAATGGGTTGGCATTGTTACAGACGCCGAATTGGTGGGGACTGACGGTGGCGGGACTGTTGGCGACGGGGGCTCACGGCAGCTCTTTGTGGGGAAAGGGCGGTGCGGTTCATGAGTATGTGGTGTCGATGAGGATTGTGACGCCGGCCACGGCGGAAGAAGGGTATGCGAAGGTGAGGAGCCTGAGTGAGTCAGATGAAGAACTAGATGCAGCCAAGGTTTCACTTGGGGTTCTCGGGGTTGTTTCTCAGGTGTGTCTCCAATCCCATCCCATTAATTTACAAATGTGATTTTCTATTTGGTCAAATTCCTTACTTATTTAATTCATAATTACGAACAATCTCTCTTACATTAGTTACTTGACTTGTGTCCCATCTATTGTGTTTAATTACTTGAGTTATCAAGTGATATAAATTTCATTTGTTTACCTCAAAGTTAATTGGCACAATATTTGTTTATGTTTATATAAAGATTTCTTTCTGTCCAACGCATGCACGAGTTTTTTATTCTAATTTTACTAAATTTAATTAGGAAAAATATAGTTATACTTCCCCGATCCTTAATATAAGACCTATTTAACTAATTTGATTAGATTAAGAAAGTTAGGTAAATTAGTTAATTATAAGAAATATGACATGTTTTTTCTAAAACACCATAATCATCTTTTTTAATATCCTTCTTCCGTCTTTGTCCATAGGGGTAATTTAGAAAAAAAAATTTATATATATGATAAATAGGTCTTATACTTAGGATTAAAATTAATTTAACAATTAGATTCTATATTAAGAACCGGAAGAGTATATAAGTGGTGGTGGTTTTAATTTGCAGGTCACCTTCGAAGTAGAGCCCATGTTTAAACGAGCAATTACATACGTCACGAAGAGTGATGCAGACTTGGGAGATGAATTGATTAGATTTGGGAAAGAGCACGAGTTTGCTGATTTGTCGTGGTATCCTTCACAAAAGAAGGCTGCGTTCAGAATTGATGATCGAGTGCCTTTTAATCGGTCTGGAGATGGTCTCTCTAATATACTCGCATATCGATCTGCTCCCTCTGCTCAGTTAACTACTATCAGAGGCACAGGTTATTTATAAATAATTTTCATTCTTTTTAATTAATAACACATAAAATGCTTTTTAAGTCTTTCCAGAAAACAAAACTAAGGAGAAGTTGGAATTTTCTGTAACAGAGGAACTTCGAGAAGCAACAAGGGACGCTAAAGGAAAATGCCTTGATGCACAGATGGATATCAGGACAGCTGAGACATCTGCTTATGGCTTCACTAACAACGGTACGTACTCGTTCCTTTTTTATAATTTTCCACTTACGCATTTTGACAAACACGCTGTGAGCATTTTTTTTCCTCGTCCATACTTGATTGAACCATCATTAATATCAGAACTTATTAGTTTCTTTATGCATAAATAGGCGCAAACTTTACTGGATACCCAGTGATTGGACAAAACAATCGCTTGCAATCATCTGGGCCATGCCTAGATAGTAAAGAAGACGCGTTGCTGACCGTATGCCCCTGGGATTCTAGATTCCAACTTGCGTTCTATCATGACACGACCTTCACCATCTCCTTGTCTAATGTTTCAAGTTTCATCAAAGATGTGCAGAAGCTAGTTAAATTAGAGCCACGAGCACTGTGTGGAGTAGATCTCTATGAAGGCTTTCACCTGCGCTATATCAAAGCTTCAAGTGCTTACTTGGGAAGAACAAAAGATTCTGTGGATTTTGATATTTTATATTACAGAAGCAAGGACCCACTGGCTCCTAGACTCTTTGAGGACATTCTTGAGGAGATTGAGCAGATAGGGTTGTTTAAATATGGAGGGTTGCCCCATTGGGGAAAGAACAGGAATTTAGCATTCAATGGAGTGATCAAGAAGTATCCAAATGCAAGCAAATTTGTAAGTGTGAAAAGAAAGTATGATCCACAAGGACTTTTCTCGAACGAGTGGACAGATCAGATTCTAGGGTTAAAAAAAGGTACAACGATAATGAGAGATGGGTGTGCTCTCGAAGGCTTATGCATATGCTCAGAGGATCGTCATTGTGCTCCAACCAAAAAATATTTTTGCAGGCCTGGGAAGGTTTATAAGAAAGCTAGGGTTTGTGCTTTCGAAGGCTGAGATTTATCTGAACAAAAACCTTGTAGCAGAAGAATAATTCAGCTTTTCATAGTGTGATATTTTATATTTGGTGTGTTTTTTATTATCTTCTGTCATGGAATAATATTATATTGTCATTAAGAATAATTGTTGTAAATTTAAAAAAAGAACTATATATATAATTGTCTGTAACCTGTAATGTGACATGGTACTTATAGTTTGATATGGATTTTTTTAAATTTAGTACTCCTACAAATTGCAGTAGCACGAGAGTATATACTTCTTTTAGTATTTAAATAAACTCTACAAATTTTCCAAGCACTTGAAGAGTGAGAACTTGTGCAATCAGTTTATTATGAACATTGATATTACTGTGTCCCCTTCATGGTTTCTTCTCCTACATATGATGCCCTTTGTAATTAATTATAAGAGTTATAACGTGGGGTGTTGTATTAACGAGGTCATATGTTCCTGTCACGAAACAAATGAATATTAATTTTTTAAAATAAAAGTCATCTCAACAAGCCATTCCTTTATTTTTTTTCGAAGTACAGACCATCAGATATTAAATATGAATATCTACCAATGAGAATTTGAATTTTGGGTTTCCACGGATTAACCAAGACTAGACTAAGGGCTATGGTTTTCTTTGAATACAAGCCCACGTTTTGCAAACAGGCAGCGGGCCAATAACCGTGTTCTGGCTAAGCCCAATATATTCCTAACACAAAAGAATTATTAGCCCAAAAAATAATGCAGGCATCGTTTTTTGTTCTCATTTTCGCTTATAAACCTAAAAAGTGTGCTTTAAAAGTTTGAATTGATATGGATGAGGACAAAAAGCTATACAAGTATACATACAAAGGGAATTAATGCATGCAAAGGTGGTGTGGTAGCACATTGAATTGGGAGAATCAATGAACTCATCATCCTTATCCTTTATACTCATTGCGTATGTGAATGTATTTTCAGCGCTCATTTATCCACAGAGGTGTCTTTTCAAAATACTACTACTGATTTTAAATATAAGAATCAGTTAATTAATTTACGTAAATTGAAAAAAAAATTAAGTTAATTATTTATAATGAATAGGTATTGTCTTTCCTAAAATATTTTTGTTAATCAAGTTTATTGACTAGAACTATCATTATTAAAAATATTAATTTAAAAAAATCAATAAATATGAGAGGTAAAGTGGATTGGGATTTTATATTTATGATCAAAATAAAAGTCAAACAAATTCTTATATTAAGGATCGGAAGCAGTATTTCATATTTGATGAGATATAAATTTAACTAGAAAAATAAGATTACTATTAAGGGAGAATGATATAAAAACAACCTGAAAATTGCATAATATGATACTATTTGGATCAAAACATGTTAAAACATAAGGAAACATACGTGATTTGAAATTTAATAATTTTTAAATTCCTTTTCTGTTATTTTTTTCATTGATTAAGTTGAAAATTAATGTTGTCGCCAAGGTTGTCAAAATCATAATGTAGATGTAAAATCATATTGTAAACTCATAAGAATTTGTGTATTGATAATTGATATTAAAAATATATAATTAAATAATTAAAATATAAAAATGACAATAGTTCCATTTAAATATATTTTAAATCCAAATCATTAAAATTAAACCTATCAACATTCATAATTTACTATATCTAACAAAGAAATCTTTATGAAATTAATATATAAAGTTACTAAATATAATTAAACCCAAAAATTTGGCATGAGTTTAAAAACAAGATGACACAATTTTTTAAACTAAAAACATAAAAACACTAAACTAGATGAGTAAACTTGCAAGTTTAACTGAATTTATAACTAACATGAGTTTAAGAGCACGTTGACACAATTTTATAAGTTAAAAACATAAAATCATTAAACTTGGATGGTGGACTCGCAAGTTTGACCACAATAATTGTCGCTAGTAGCTTAATATAATATTATCTCCTATCCTTAATATAAATTTTAGATAACTAAAATAACTAAGTTAAGAAAATTAAAAAATTACTTAAATTGATTAATTATAATAAACATGTGTTGACTTCCCTAAATTAACATGTGCTTTGGAACTATTTTTTCCAAAGTAATTTATAATCAATAAAGATATTTTAGAAAAAAATTATAAATTTAGGAAACAAAATAATTTAATGTTTTATATTTAATATCAGATCCAATTCTCTGACAAATTCTTATATTAAAAATAAGAGATAATATAAAGTTGACTATAGTTAAAAATGTCTTTTATCTTTCCAGCTTTTTTATTTAATGGTACCTTGTATTTCCTTCTAGTGTGTACGTCTTTTCATGGTTGAAAATAATAACAATTATTGTTGTTGTTGTTGTTTTTTTTTTTTAATGCTTCTTGTGCTAAACGGATTCCTACTATGATATTAAAACCAAACTTGAGTTTTTCGGTCAAACGAGTAACTTAATAAATCAGTCATTGATTGATTTATTAAGAGTCTTGAATGGATATGAATTAGTTTTTTTTTTTTGACAAATTTTTAACAAAAGGGTTGAACTCACTCATATTCCAAATGTACGACAATATACTAATCCTTGACGCTAATTCTACTTGGCCCCATAATTGAGTTTTGACTTTGAAGATGCCTCCCTCAAGCGTCATGACATGCTTTAAGATCAAATTTGCTTCCTTAACAGGTATGTCCAATCCCTTTGTTCATTGAACCCATGAATAAGAGGCTATCTTTTTTAATAAACTATAAATGATTGTGGTTTTGACCTTAAACAAGAAAAAACTAACAATTGGTTAAATTTGTTTTGGTAACCATCTTATGTTAGATAATATATGATTTACATATGAATGCTCTATTTACTTATTAAATAATATTTTCTTTTGGAAGAAAATTACATATGAATATTTTTATACATTCTAATAAAATTATATTAACTCCGATTTTCAGTGGCTTTTATATATTTCTTCCTCCGCAGTGATTAGTTGTACGAAATTGCTGATGAGCTTGGCAGCCGCTGGTAAAAAAAAAAAAAGGAGCTTGGCAGTCTCCGTACGATATTAAGGAAGAAAGTTCGGAATGGAATGGCCGTCAGCGAGGATGCCATGAGATCCCGAGGCGGGCTTTTTAATTTGAACGTTCCCTAATGCCCTGCTTGGATGGGAAGCAAAATTGAGGGGAAAGAAAATAAAAGGAGAGAAAATAGAAAGAAGGAAAAACTAGAGAGAAGTTGTGATCATCCCTCGTGTTTGGATGGATGAGAGAAAATAGAGAGGAAAGAAAATTAACATATATCTAAATGACTAAAATGTCCTTATTAAAATATATCATGTTTACAGTTAAATTAAATTAAATATTACAATAGAAAAATTATACTAACATTAGCATCATCAAATAATTTAAAATCAAGTTATCTGGTTTGTATATATTTTCAGATTATTATATTTTAAAACCAAACTATTTAATAAAAATATTGTTTTAAGATGAAAAAAAAAAGTGAATAACTTTTAAATATAATAAAAGAAAATAAATATAGAGAGGAAGAGAGAGGAGGGACAGTTATGGAAGTCTTGTTTTCCCTCCCAAATCTCTCCATATATGAGAGCAAATTTGGAGAGAAAATAAGGCATGAGGCTCATCTTATTTTCTCCTCTACTTTTCTTTCCTCCCATATTTTCTCTCCTATCCAGACAAAAGAAAACTTGTTTCTCTTTATGTTTTTCTCTCTAATTTTCTCTCCTCCCTAATTTTCTCTCAATCCAAGCAAGGGGCAAGTACAAGCCCATATTTCTCCATATTCGGCCTCACAAAGCTTGACCGCACCCTACCAATTTTATAATTCTTCTCACATTTTGAAAAGCATTAAAATTTGAGAAAATTGTGTGTATATATATATTTCAAATCAAATTTTGAACATGTGAATTTATTATTCAAACTGTTGAAACCAGTGAAGTCCTGTGTATTACAAGAAATTTAAAAAATGAATTGCACTTCTCATCAATTACGCATTCTGTTAAAATTTTTAATGCTATCCAATCCTTATGATAAAGACACGCATTAATAACTTTATAAGGATTGAAAATTTAGTTTGAAATTAATTTTTTAATGCTTTGGAAAAATTAAAATTATTCTTGATGAATTAAATTCACTGATTAGAGGTGGTCGTTTATTCGGTGAAAAATATTAAAGCAAATACTAATATTTAGGGGAAAAAATAATACTTCTGAAAAAAGCTTTTATATAATAAAAAATATTTTTATATAGAAATAAGTTACTGGCTCTATAGCGCATTACTTCTAACTAGGCAGAATTTATGTCCTATGTTAAATTAAATTTGTGTCGTTTAAATTTAATTGTAGTAACAGAATTTATATTTTAAAATTATTTATTCTTTTATTTACAGTACACTACTATTTTCATAGCAAATCATTCAATTTATATTATGAAATGTTCAAGTCTTTCCAGAAACTAAACTAAGGAGAAGTTGAATTTTCTGTAACAGAGGAACTTCAAGAAGCAACACGGGACGCTAATGGAAAATGCCTTAATGCACAGTTGGCGACTAGGACGGCTGAGGCATCTGGTTATGGCTTGACGAACAACGGTACTCGTTCTTCTTTCTCATTTTCCACTCACCCATTTTCACAAACACGCTACGAACACTTTTTTCTTCGTCTATAGTTGATTTGACCAGCATTAAAATCACAACTTATTAGTTTCTTTCCCCACAAATAGGAACAATCTTCACTGGATACCCAGTGATTGGACAAAACAATCGCTTGCAATCATCTGGGTCATGCCTAGATAGTAAAGAAGACGGATTGCTCACTATATGCTCCTGGGATTCTAGACTCCAAGTTGCGTTCTTTTACGAAACAGCCTTCAGCGTCTCCTTGTCTACTCTTTCAAGCTTCATCAAAGATGTGGAGAAACTAGTTGAATTAGAACCACAAGCACTGTGTGGATTAGAGTTCTATGGTGGCTTCCTCCTGCGCTATGTCAAGGCTTCAAGTGCTTACCTGGGAAAAACAAAAGATTCTGTAGATTTTGATCTTGTATACTACAGAAGTAAGGACCCACTGACTCCTAGGCTTTTTGAGGACACTATTGAGGAGATTGAGCAGATCGGGTTGTTCAAATATGGAGGCTTACCTCACTGGGGAAAGAACAGGAATTCTGCATTCAAGAAAAGAGAGAATGATATTAAGGGATGGATGTGCTCTCGAAGGTTTGTGTATATGCTCAGAAGATCGTCATTGTGTTCCAAACAAAAAATATTATTGCAGGCCGGGGAAAGTTTATGAAAAAGCTAGAGTCTGTGTTTTTGAAGGTTGAAATTGATATAAAGAAAAAGCTTTTAGTGGAAGAATGGTTTAAATCAAAGTGCTTTTGGTGGTGTGAATGTGTGATATTTTATCTTTGAGATTTTTTTTTCATCATCTTTGTAGTAGAATAATAATACTCTTTTTTTTTTTGCTTAATATTTGATATTTTATGGTTAAATAAAAAAATTTAAAACATGATGAACAAAGTTATGAATTTATATCCTAATGGTAGCAAAGTTGTTGGTCAATTGCGTACGTCCTCGGACTTTTTTCATTAATCATTATACATGTTGTTCTTTTTTGTTACTCCCATTTAAGGTTGTTGTTTGCACCCAAACAAATGGGCCTGGGTCCAGAAACAAGCCCAATAATAAAACAAAACGGATGATTATGCTAATGTAAGTGGCAATTTTCTTTTTGTGAAAAAACAAAACGGATGATTATGCTAATGTAAGTGGCAATTTCTTTTTGTGAAAAAAACAAACCTGGATGATGTCACATTCTTGTAAGGATTATGTCCTGTGTTAATAGGCTTGACTCTGTATACGGTAACTTGTTGATTTGACCTAGTCATATATTACTTACGGTTTTAATATAAGAGCAAGTCTGATTTTTATTTTAGTTTCAAATATAAAACTTCAATTTATTTTATCTCTCATATTTATCTATTTTTTGAAGTTGTATAATCCTCGTAATAATAATAGTTCTAGCCAATGTACTTGATTAGTAAAGATATTTTAGAAAAAATAAAATCTATTTATTATAAATAACTAATTTAACTAGTTTTTTTAATTTACTCAAATTAGTCAATTAGATTTTATATTGACAACGGAGATAGTAATTAACTATTGTGTGGAGGAAATATATAGATATAGGTGACTTTTAAATATATTTTACATTTGATGAAACACAAAAGTCGAACATTGCGAAGTTTAAAATATATTCAAATGATGAAGTTGAACATTGTTAATGTTGTAGCTGGAGGCAGCTGAATGTAGTAATACACAGGAGTAGAACGTTGACAACTGTTAAAATTTTTTTCGTTCTTGCTTTTTTTCCCCCCTCCTACACTGTGTTTTTCTCTATATATCATCTCACAAGCAACACCTTATAATAATTTAAAAATACTCTTTTTGCTTCAAATGGTTCTTAATACAAGACTTTTTTTAAATCAAATATTACTTCCGATCCTAAATATAAAAGATAGTTGACTAATTTAACTAGGTTAAAAAAATAAATTAAGTTAGTTATTTGTTATAAATAGGTATGGTATTTCCTGAAATATTCTTGCTGATCAAGTGTATTAGCTAGAACTACTATTATTAGAAAAACTACTTTAGAAAAAAATGAATAAATGTAAGAGAGAAAATGGATTGAAATCTTATATTTGGGACCAAAATAAAAAATCAAACAAGGTCTTGTATTAAGGATTAGAGGTAGTATAATAAAACATTTATAACTAATTTTTAAAAATACCCTGCTCTTTCATTCTGATCTTAAACCTTTAATTGGATTAACAATAATTTTATGAAAATTGTAAAAATTTTTAACATATAACTAATCTAATTATTTTTTAATCTTAAAAAAGTGGTTTAAGGGTTTTATAAAAAAAAAATAAAACAATAAAGAATTAACGTGAGAGAGTGATAATGACCCAACAGGGAGAGGACGTACCACGGATATCTAAAATCCATTATACAAAAATTTCTGATGAGTTGTATGTATAACCAGAACGAAATAACAGCGAAAGAAGTACAGAACCCAAATATGACTGAAAGTCCAAGTCATCCAGAGATTGCATACTAATCCAAGTCAAATGCTGTAATCCGTAAGGAATATATATAATGAAGGGTCTAAATTAGAATGAAAGCATCAGAACAATATTTTTATAAATAAAAAGATGTTATGAAAGCAATGTTTGGCTAAACGCCATAGGAAAATACCAGGATTTAAAACAAGCAAGTAAATATTTTGCTTAATGGAAAAGAGATCGCGGGGAGTTTTTACTATCATAAGTTGATTCCAAGTCTTTATTTTTTTCTCGGTAAATAAGAAAGGCAAAGCCTGGAACAAGAAATTAACTCGCTGGAGATTGTAATCTCATAACTTCTTTGTGTGTAGAGGTGCTAGAAGTCATGTCTAGCAGAGAAGTAGAAGTGAGACCATCACCGATCATGCAATTGCATTCTCTAGGAACACAATAACTGCAAGTTTCCTTCGAGTTTTGCCATAAAAAAAAAAAAAATTCACTTCACTGTAACTCTGTTGATCGATCTTTCGGTGGTTGAGACGGATTTTTATTTCAAGTACGCTTTAATTATCCTCTTCAATTCAGGCAGCCTTGCACTTCCTTTATTATATGGGCTTATTGTAAAACTCTGCTAATCCACGTGTGAACGGGCTGGCTTTGATTCTTGACATAGAACGCACATATACCTAACACTGCGAGTAGTAAAATATTATGGCATTGTCATTCTTTGATAACTTATGATTTAAGATGTGACGAGGTCGCACTGTGACCAAGACATGTTGATGTTTGAAGTCAAATGTCGACGCTCCCTATACTTTCTCTCTGGTCCAAAAGCTCCTAGCTCTAGAATCTGCACATTTATATGCACATTATCACTGGGATGATTCACTAATACTTCTGCAGAGAACAAGCTTGCAGAGAAGTTTCAATCAACCATGAAAGTGCTCAAAACATCCATTCTCATCATCTTCCTCTTAGTTTTCGTGAATGGGGTTGTATCATCTCCCCCTGATGACCCCGTCAAGTGCACTGCCAACAACACAAACTGCGTCATCACTAACTCTTATGGCGCCTTCAACGACCGGAGCACTTGCAGAGCATCCCAAGTAATGTACCCAAACACCGAGCAGGAGCTTATTTCCATGGTGGCTTCAGCATCAAAATCCAACACAAAAGTGAAAGCAGCGACGAGATATTCCCACAGCATGCCCAAGCTTGCTTGCCCCGGAGGCCATGAGGGTATCATAATAAGCACCAACAAGCTCAACCATGTAGTGAATGTTGATGTAGTTAACAGAAGGATGACGGTAGAGAGTGGGGTGCTTCTGAGAGACCTGATCAATGAGGCGGCCAAGAATGGGTTGGCGTTGCCGTATACGCCGTACTGGTGGGGACTGACGGTGGCGGGACTGTTGGCGACGGGGGCTCACGGCAGCTCGCTGTGGGGAAAGGGAAGTGCGGTTCATGAGTATGTGGTGTCCATGAGGATTGTGACGCCGGCGACGGCGGAAGAAGGGTATGCGAAGGCGAGGAGCCTGAATGAGTCAGATGAAGAACTTGATGCAGCCAAGGTGTCGCTTGGGGTTCTTGGGGTTGTTTCTCAGGTATCTCTTTATTCGTCTTCATGTCATCGCAATAATATTATGAAACAGTAAAATCATACCAATTAAGTTAAACTAAAATTTGATTAGGCTAGATTACTGCGCCGGGGTTAATGCATTTGGCGCTTTTAATCTGCAGGTAACGTTACAGTTAGAACCCTTGTTTAAGCGATCGCTTGCGTACGTGATGAAGAATGATTCAGATTTGGGAGAGGAAGTGATTAGATTTGGGAAAGAGCACGAGTTTGGTGATGTGACATGGTTACCCACACAAAAGAAGGCACTGTACAGAGTTGATGATCGAGTGCCCATTAATCAGCCTGGACATGGTCTCTATGATACCCTTGGATTTCGTCACACTCCGACTATTCAATTAGCTTCTGCCAGAGCCACAGGTTCACTACATATCTTTCTTTTTTATTCTCTTAACTACATATATACTTGAGTTCAAGTGAGGGAAGAAGCTGGTTTTTCATTCACAATTACAAGCGACGTCAGGCACAGAGCACAACTGCCCACAAATTAGAAGCAGTTGATATGAAACACGCAAATGTTTTAGTCTTTCCAGAAACTAAACTAAGTTGAAGTTGGAATTTCTGTAACAGAAGAGCTTCAAGAAGCAACGAGGGACGCTAATGGAAAATGCCTTGATGCACAGTCGGCCACTAGGACAGCGCAGACATCTGCTTTTGGCTTGACTAACAACGGTTCTCGTTCTTCTTACTCATTTTTCCACTTGCGCATTTTAACGAACACACTATGAACACTTTTTTCTTCGTCCATAGATGATTTTCAACCAGCAATAATATCGCAACTTATTAGTTTCTTTATTCATAAATAGGTACAATCTTTACTGGATACCCGGTGATTGGACAAAACAATCGCATACAATCATCTGGGTCATGCCTAGATGGCAAAGAAGACGCATTGCTCACCATTTGCTCCTGGGATTCTAGACTCCAGCTTTTGTTCTTCTACGAAACAGCCTTCAGCATCTCCTTATCTAATCTTTCAAGCTTCATCAGAGATGTGGAGAAGCTTGTTGAATTAGAGCCGCAAGCACTGTGTGGAATAGAGCTAAATGGCGGCATCCTCCTGCGCTATATCAAATCTTCAAGTGCTTACTTGGGAAAAACAGAGGATTCTGTGGATTTTGATTTTGTATATTACAGAAGCAAGGACCCACTGACTCCTAGGCTTTTTGAGGACATTTTTGAGGAGATTGAGCAGATTGGATTGCTCAAATATGGAGGGTTACCTCACTGGGGAAAGAATAGGAATTTCGCATTCAAGGAAGTGATCAACAAGTATCCAAATGCAAATAAATTTTTAAGTGTGAAAAAAAAGTATGATCCCCAGGGCATTTTCTCTAACGAGTGGACCGATCACGTTCTAGGATTAAGTAAAGATGTAATATTAAGGGATGGGTGTGCTCTTGAAGGTTTATGCATATGCTCCGAAGATCGTCATTGTGCTCCAGTCAAGAAATATTATTGTAGGCCAGGGAGGATTTACAAGAAAGCTAGAGTTTGTACTTTCGAAGGCTGAGACTTTGTCTTCAAGTGGAAAAATAGTTCAAATCGAAGTGCTTTTATATAATGTGATCTTTTATATTTTTGATGTGTCTTTTTTTTTTTTGTCATGGAGTGTTATTTCTCATAATTGATGTTAGTTTAATAAAATAACGATATGTATATATAGATTTTTTTTTAATACAAAGGAAATGAAATGCAAAACTAACAAAACCAAAACAAGTTAAGCAAACTATCCTATGCCATTAGAGTCCAAGATGATTTGGACGCTATCAGGGCCCAGGATGATAAACCCCGGGTTGTCGTTTAGAGCCTGCTTGGCCAGCATGTCTGCCATCCAGTTGTCGTCTCTGTCAAAGAGTTGACATTCCACTCTCCAGTTCCACTTGAGCATATTCTTAATTTCTTCAATCAAAGCCCAGTCTTCATTCAGCTCTGGCGTAGGGTCCTTAAGTAACCGAATGGCATCGGAGGAGTCCGATCTAAGGATCACGTTTCTAAAGCCACTATCCCACTCTCTCTTTAGGCCAAAAAGACATCCCCAAAGTTCAGCAGTTAGGACATCACCGGAGATTAGCCGGGTCTTGAAGCCCTCTTTAATGCACTGGTTGTGGTCGATGATAACCCCACCGCAAGCTGCTGTCGAGGAAGTATAGGAGAAGGCACCATCGACCTGGACGTATGTCCTCCCCACTTCATCCGAACTGGGATTTGAACATCGCACGGTCTCTTTTCCACTGAGATTGACACCTTTGAGCTTCCCAGCTGCGTTATACATGCATCTCAAAATTGCTGTAGCATGGTCATAAATTTTGTCTGTATCCCCATTGCCATTTTCATGAGCGAGGTTGTTACGGTTCCTCCAAATCAACCAGCAGATAACAATGAAAAGGCTCTTCCATTACCCCTTCTCTCCTCTGTAGCTGGCTCGCAGATTATGCCGAACCCAGTCGTGCGTGGGTCCTGAGAAGAATATATATATATATATATATATAGATGATTGTCTGTAATCTGTAAGGGGATATGGTACCTATAGCTCGGTGCTCTTTCCCTTAGTTCCAATGAATTGCATTAACGGACGTTTCTACTTCGGAAACCGTAATCGGTAATGCGGTATGGGCTCTTCCTTGGATACAACCCCATATGCATAGGCCCAGTATGTTGCAACCATGCAAGCCCAATCCGTTTGAATGGATACGGATGACGGGATTAGGGTAAAGCTATCTTATCAACTCATTCTTATCCTTTATACTCATTGCGTATCTGGTTATATCTCATGTATATTCTTCCTCTTCTTAATATAAGACCTAATTAAAAATTTTATAGTGGTCAAAACTCAGGGACTAAGCTATAAATAATCTTTTTTTTTTTTTACTTTGAAGTTACAAATAAATTAAAACTATACCGAACCAGAAGAATTAATTTTTTCTTCATTATGTGTTTGACCCATTCAATTGTGAATTTATGCCCACCTCCTGCTATTTAAGGTCATGTTTGCATCCAAATACAATTAGGCCTTTCACATAAAAATAAATAAATAAATAAATTAGCCCTGGTCCAGAAACAAGCCCAATAATGAACCGACGATGGCACATTACCACAAATAGATAACTTTTAAAAGTATTTCACGTTGACAAACTAGTTGGATAAGGAGAGGGGATTAGTCCTTCACGTCGTAACGAATTAATATTTAAATTCTTATTAGAAGAGGTACTCATATTTATTATCTAATAATGCCTCAAACAAAATTACCCCTGATAAAAGAATAATTATGCTTTGGAAAAAAAGTATTTTAAATTGGATGAAACAAAAAAGTCAAACATCGCAAAGTTAAAAAATGTACAATAAATAGTGATCTGGTCATAAACGAAAGCATCATAACATTATCTTCTAAATAAAAAAAACAATGGGTGAAAACAATGTTTGGCTAAACGCGTGGAAAATACGCGGATATTAAACAATGAAACAAATGTTTGCGTTAGCAAAGAAATGTGATCAACAAAATTTAAATGGTGAGAAATGTTTGCGTTAGCAAAGAAATGTGATCAACAAAATTTAAATGGTGAGTCTATAATTAAATACAGATATAACGTGCTTAAAATTTTAATTTTTTAATATATAATTATTTTCGTATTTAAAAATTTAAGCATACTTTGTTAACATTTAACTGCAGAAATAACTATTTAAATTTTGTTCAATCAATATTTTCAATGAAGTTAGATAAATGATATTAAGAAACTGAAAAAATTCACTTTATAAGCTTAAAGAATTAAATTAAGATTTGATGTGAATTTTAAAAACAACGTATACTTTGACTGAACTCATAAAACTTTGCTAATCCACACGTTAACGAGCTGGCTTTTTCTGGTTAAAAAAAGGGCTGGCTTTGATTGTTCAAATGTACGATAAAATATAAACATATACCTATCAATATGAGTGGCAAAATATTATGGCATCGTCATTCTTTGACAATTTATAGCTGACATTTGAAAGTCAAATTTCAAGGCGCTCCAAAATTTCTCTCAGGCCCAAAAGCCCCCCGCCCTAAAATTTATATATAGACACACATTATCACTAGGTAATACACAGTGAAGTGAAGTTTCAGTCAACCATGAAAATGCTCAAAACATCCATTCTCACCATCTTCTTTGTTTTCATGAATGGGGTTCTTTCTTCTCCTCCAAGTGACCCCGTCAAATGCACTTCCAACAACACAAACTGCATCATCAATAACGCTTATGGCGCCTTCAACGACCGGATCCCTTGCCGAGCATCCAAAGTACTATACCCTACCACCGAGAAAGAGCTTATTTCCGTGGTGGCTTCGGCTTCAAAATCCAACACAAAAATGAAAGCAGCCACCAGGCATTCCCACAGCATCCCCAAGCTTGCGTGCCCTGGAGGCCAAGACGGGATCATAATAAGCACCAATAAGCTCAACCGTGTCGTGAACGTTGATGTGGAAAACAGAAGAATGACGGTAGAGAGTGGAGTCCTTGTGAGGGACCTGATCAATGAGGCGGCGAGGAATGGGTTGGCATTGTTACAGACGCCGTATTGGTGGGGTCTGACGGTGGCGGGACTGTTGGCCACGGGGGCTCACGGCAGCTCTTTGTGGGGAAAGGGCGGTGCGGTTCATGAGTATGTGGTGTCGATGAGGATTGTGACGCCGGCCACGGCGGAAGAAGGGTATGCGAAGGTGAGGAGCCTGACTGAGTCCGATGAAGAACTAAATGCAGCCAAGGTTTCACTGGGGGTTCTCGGAGTTGTTTCTCAGGTGTGTCTCCCATCCCATTAATTTACAAATGTGATTTTCTGTTTGGTCAAATTCCTTACTTATTTAATTCATAATTATGAACAATCTCTCTTACATTAGTTACTTGAGTTGTGCTCCATCCATTGTGCTTAACTACTTGAGTTATCAAGTGATATAAATTTAATTTTTTTTACCTTAAAATTAACTGGCACAATATTTGTTCATGTTTATATGAAGATTTCTTTCTGTCCAACGGTTGCATAAGTTTTTTATTCCAATTTTACTAAATTTAATTAAGAAAAATATAGTTATATATAAGAGGTGGTGGTTTTAATTTGCAGGTCACCTTCGAATTAGAGCCCATGTTTAAGCGAGCAATTACGTACGTGACGAAGAGTGATGCAGACTTGGGAGATGAATTGATTAGATTTGGGAAAGAGCACGAGTTTGGTGATTTGTCGTGGTATCCTTCACAAAGAAGGCTGCGTTCAGAATTGATGATCGAGTGCCTATTAATCGCTCTGGAGATGGTCTCTCTGATTTACTCGCACTTCGATCTGCTCCCTCTGCTCAATTAACTACTATCAGAGGCACAGGTTATTTATAA